CCTCTTCTGGCCTAGCAGACGTCGATCCTGGGGCAAGAAACCGGACCTCCCACCTGTAGCTGAATTCTTGGCCACCTCTTCCAGAACTCCTCTGAAGGCTGCATCCCCGTTATCTGACCACACTTCCATAGCTTTAGACCAGGTCTCCTAAGGCAAGCACCAGCTTGCAAGCTATCCCAGTAGTGTAGATTCGCTTGAGATCAGAATTGATTCTCCTTTCCAGGTTGTCCTTGAAGGACACCGAATCCCCAAGAGGGAGGGTAATGTGCTTGGCTAGTCTCATCAAGGCTGCATCCACCAGAGGAGCACATTCTAGATGTTCGACGTCCTCTGATTTGAACCGATAAAACTTGGCTGCTTTATTCAGAAAGGAGGCCCTTTTATCGACATTGCTCCAATCCTCTATTAAAATTTCCCTGAGTTCCTCCAGGAACGGAGAGTTTGGACGATCCTTCCTTAGATATTTAAAGAATTTCCTGTGTTTAGGGGGAGACTCCATGGTTTTTCTTCCCACTTCAGTGCCTCTTTTACTGCTTTGACTAAGGGCGAGACCAAGGCAAAATCGAAGCCCACACACTTCACTCTCCGCCTCTCTATCTGTGACTCCGGCTGACAAGTGGCTAGGTTGTGAAGGCTCCAATCCCTCTTGGGATTGGAGGGAGGGGAGCACACCCCGACTGATGGGCTGCAGGTGTGACTAGTCCCAATTTCTTTCAGGGACTCTTAAACGATCCGTCTGACCAAAGCTTCTACCTGGTGCTCTCTCTCGCCAGTCGCCCGTGCAAAACAGGAGTCACATAATGACCTATCCTCAAGAACCTGAGAATCACACCCCCAGCAAGTTTTCCTATTGGAGCGGCTGGAGTGCCCCTAATGCGATGCCTGGAGGAGGAGCAAGAGCTTCTTTGATGATTCCTGGAGCTGGAAGGAGACCTGTGGTGTCCAGATTTAGAGGACAAATGATGGCGCTGAGACATAGACGCACTTCCATCATTGTGTGCTGTATAGTGGCAATCAGACCTAGAAGGACTGAGAGAGATTAAAAAAAGCCACAGAAGGGGAGATAGTTAAAAGCCACAGAAAAGCACCAGTGGGGGATCAAGGGGCTAAAGCCATCTGTCCACCTACTGCACAGGGGCTGGCCACAAGGAGGCAGTTGCACATCCGAGCTGACCACCGGGGGGGGGGGGGGGGGCAGGAGGGAGCAGGTACTGGCCTTTACAGTGGACCACAGCTCCACCACTCCTGGCACTGCATCCATCTGCACATCCAATAACTTGCCTTTAGCTAGAACTGACAAGCGGCACGTCACCTTACATCTCCCAGAGAGGCTTGCCGGGCCTTGGTCACGGACAATCTTGTATGCGGGAACCAGGTAAGACTTTCACTAAGTCCATAGGAGGAGGACAAAAAAGGAACATGGCCTCTGGCGAGGAGCAAAGATTTATGGGAGTGGGGTCCTATAGGAGAAGAGATGGTGGGACTAACCCATACATATGCTGCAATGGAGTTGTTTTTTCTTTTCCTCCTCTAAGTAAAATGGTGAGACCAACATCTAGAGCAGTGTTTCTCAACCAGAGTTCTGCCACGATCTACCCATCCATCACATACAGAAGACGAGTAGATCGGATCCCCACATAGCTGACAGTCAAGCTGCAGAGGGAAGCAACTTGCATCACTGTCCTGCGTCGATCCCAGATGGCCCTCTCCTCCTATCTGTCCCAAGTGCCTGCGTGTGACATCACTTGGAAAGGACGAGAGAGCAGGGTGGGTGGGGATCAGTGTGCCAGATACGATCTGCAGCTTTCCTACATGAGGAAAAACCACTACAGACCCCAGTATTGTACCATACAGTTCTGTTTCCTCCTGGCCCCCTGTGATGTACTGTGCGCTCCTGGCCCCCCTATACTATTCTTTCTTGGCTCTCCTCTACTCTTCTCTCCTGGCCCCCCTATACTTTTCCCTCCTGCTCCCATACTGTTCACTCCTAGCCCCCCTGTACTTTGCTGAGCTCTTCTGGCCTCCTATACGGTTTCCTGCTGCTCTCCCAGTACTGTTCTCTCCTGCCCCCCTGTACTGTTCCCTCCTGGCACCCCTGTACGGTGCTGAGCTCTTCTGGCCCCCCTATACATTTCCCTCCTGAATCCCATGTGCTCTGCCCTGCTGACCTCCTGTACACTGTTTATCTCAAGTTTGACCCAGAATTGAGCATCAGGGCAAAGAAAAGCAAGCACAAATTTCACATTAAGGAGGTACATTTTAATATTTATCCTATTGTTTAATGCTCGAAGAAGAATTGTTATATCTACAGCTTGCTGATCACATTAATGTTCTGTGATCTGTACTGTACATATGAAAATTATTTCAGGGGTTCCCTGAGATGTTAGACTTTTTGCCAAGAGTTCCTCAAAGGAAAAAAACCCCTGATCTAGAGTTTGGAAACATTTTCACAATGCAATTTCTGCTGACAGCAAAGCCGCAATTTGCAGTGTAACAGAATTTTAATTTGTGAGACTACTCCATAATGATTTTTTTTTAAATTTTCAGAAAATTTCCATTTTTTTCTGGAAAAAAATGCTACTACAAGCTGGCACAAAAATGATATTATCAGTGTTTCTCATCCAGCGTTTTTTTTCTTGCCTTTTTTGACCTTTTAAAAAATGCTAGTTTGCATGCAGTCTTAAGGTGGTCTTTGATAATTTTCATAGGTAGCAATAAATTTTTTTGAATTTTTTGAGGGCTAGTTGCAGTACCTCATGAAAAAGTTAAAGGATAAGTTCATCTTTTGACCAAAAATAATAAATGCACATTTTTTTCCAGGTAAAAAAAATGTGCATTTATTATTTTTGGTTGCAGGAGCCTGTAAAGCAGTGGTTCTCATCCTTCCTAATGCCGCGACCCTTTAATACAGTTCCTCATGTTGTGGTGACCCCCAACCATAAAATTATTTACCCAGTAATTATAATTCATGAGTGTCGTTTTGCCTCCAATACTGCTGCTTTCAACACAGCAGCTGCTTTCTACACAGTAGCTGCTCTTTACACATCGGAAATATGTGTTTTCTGATGGTCTTAGGGGACCCCTGTGAAAGGGTCGTTCGACCCCCAAAGGGGTCGCGACCCACAGGTTGAGAATCACTGCTGTAAAGCATTGCATCAGCGAACAGGTTCACTAACAAAGTTTTAGAAGAAACTTAATAAAAACAATCTTTCCTGAATGTATGTCTTTGAAGCATTGGGCCTAATTAACTAAAAATATGTAAATATACTATCTCATCACTGTGCTCAGAATGGAGGTTAAACAATCCAATCATGCTGTAATATCACATGCTTTGTATGCACAATGCATGTGGAAATACACACGACTGCATCTGTGCAGCTAATTCACTTACAAAGTACTTTGTCACTAAAGCCTGGTATACATTACTATTTTTTTTTTTAGTTCAACCCAGCGGGCTGAACGAAAAAAAAAAACCTGACATCTCAGGAGGTGCCGCTGTACTAACTATCCAATGTCAGTACAGTGATCTCCCCTGCTGTGCTATTGTGTTCTGCTGGGGGGGGGGCAGCCCCCTTTCTAGAAGTCTGGCTGAATGGCCGACTGGTATACATACAATCCGAATGTTGGCTGGTTTCTATTGAACCAGCCGATGCCATCGGCCCATGTGTACTAGGCTTAACCAACTAAACAACACTCTTTCCAGCATCTGAAATGTATACCAGATAACTGGATGCATATCTGAAATTAATAAAGGAATTTTCTGAACAGTTTTTTTGAGGCGATCTACATCTGTTAGTTATTTTGCATTTACGTGCTTATGCAGGAACAATGCGTGAAATACATAATGGCATAATTGGAGTTGAGTGTATAAAACAATAAAGGCCAAAGATGGGTTATATGGGGGTAACACCGCAAGCATGTGCTTATATATATATATATGCTTTGGTCATGACAAGAAAGCATATATGATTTCATACTGCTTGACAATATAATGTTAAAAAAATCATACCATTGCTACATCATTTGCAAAAGCTTTTCAAAAGCATTGTGTAAATTTTTTGGTGGCTACTCCTGTTTTATCACGGGAATCTTTCATACCTTAGTGAGCAAACATGAAACACACATATTCACCTTTTCTGCACAAAAACATTATTTTGAGTTTTAAAGCACACCGCAAACAGGGACCACAACATACAGTATGCACTGAGGATATATGTGTACTTTAGCAGACCAGTTAAGGGATTTTGTGCCCAAGTAAACCCATGAAAAAAGAATGCCAGTTATCTTCATAGCAAATTTTCTTTTGCATTTCCATTTTGTAAATCAGGCCCATTGCACACATATTTATATATTTACAGTCACATACATTAAAAATACTTTTGTCTGTAAATGTAGTCTTGTTATGGCGGCTCACAAAGCAGAGGCGCCACCTAGAGTGACAGTAGGTGACCCTTGAATAGGAAATTTGGGGCTGCTCTGTGTAATTCCATTGCAGGTACAGTGGGGCAAAAAAGTATTTAGTCAGCCACCAATTGTGCAAGTTCTCCCACTTAAAAAGATGAGAGAGGATGTGCATGGAGGAATGGGCCAACATACCAGCAACAGTGTGTGCCAACCTTGTGAAGACTTACAGGAAACGTTTGACCTCTGTCATTGCCAACAAAGGATATATAACAAAGTATTGAGATGAACTTTTGATATTGACCAAATACTTATTTTCCACCATAATTTGCAAATAAATTCTTTCCAAATCAGCCAATGTGATTGTCTGGATTTTTTTTCTCATTTTGTCTCTCATAGTTGAGGTCTACCTATGATGCCAATTACAGGCCTCTCTCATCTTTTTAAGTGGGAGAACTTGCACAGTTGGTGGCTGACTAAATACTTTTTTGCCCCACTGTAAGTATAAAATGTTTATTATTTTAGAAACAAAAATTATCCTTTGCAACTGCTTGAAACAATTTCTATTCACTTAAGTTTTATTGGGCTTTATTACATACCGTGGCAGATAAATATCTGCTTGTTTGGAAGCTTTTTAATGAAGTTGTACATACAAATGTACCAAAAAATAGGATGGCAGACATAAGAAAGACATCTGGAACATATTCACAGCTGTTGCCCTTTAGAAGTCCTCCCAGCTCTATGCATTGATCTTGTGTAATGTTTTCAGGCTCCTTATTCTGCAAGGAAAAAAAATTGAAAAGTTAAAAAAAATGAGCAGTGATATACAGTTGCAAGAAAAAGTATGTGAACCCCTTGGGATTATGTGGAGTTGGTTTTACATGAATTGAGCATAAAATGTGCTCTGAACGTCATCTAAGTCACAACAATAGAAGAACACAGTCTGCTGAACATAATACTACACAAACATTAGATGTTGCCATGGTTTAATTGCACATAACATGTAAACATTCACAGTGCAGGGAGGAAAAAGTATGTGAACCTTTGGACTTAATAACTGGTTGACCCTCCTTTGGCAGCAATAACCTCAACCAAACGTTTCCTGTAGTTGCAGATCAGACCTGCACAACGATCTGGAGTAATTTTGAACCACTCCTCTTCACAAAACTGTTTCAGTGTAGCAATATTCTTGGGATGTCTGGTGTGAATCGCTCTCTTAAGGTCATGCCACAGCATTTCAATCGGGTTGAGGTCAGGACTCTGACTGGGCCACTCCAGAAGGCGTATTCTGTGCTGTTGCAGCCATTGTTTTGTTGAATTACTTGTATGCTTTGGGTCATTGTCCTGTTGCATCACCCATCCTCTGCGGAGCTTCAGTTGGCGGACAGATGGTCGTACGTTTTCCTGCAAAATGTCTTGATAAACTCTGGAATTCATTTTCCCATCAATGACAACAATCCGTCCAGGCCCTGAGGCAGCAAAGCAGCCCCAAACCATGATGCTCCCTCCACCATGTTTTACAGTGGGGATGAGGTTTTGATGTTGGTGTGCTGTGCCTTTTTTTTTCTCCACACATAGTGTTGTGTGTTCTTCTCAAACAACTCAATCTTGGTTTCATCTGTCCACAGTATATTTTGCCAGTAGTGCTGTGGAACATCCAGGTTCTCTTTTGCAAACTTCAAACGTGCTGCAATATTCTTTTTGGGCAGCAATGGCTTCCTCCATGGTGTCCTCCCATGTACTCCATTCTTGTTTAATGTTTTCCTTATTGTAGACATGTCAACAAAAATGTTAGCATGTGCCAGAGATTTCTGTAGGTCTTTAGCTGACACTCTGGGATTCTTCTTTACCTCATGCAGAATTCTGCGCTGTGCTCTTGCAGTCATTTTTACAGGATGACCACGCCTAGGGAGAGTAGCAACAGTGCTAAACTTTCTCGATTTGTAGACAGTCTGTCTTACCGTGGACACATGAACATCAAGGCTTTTGAAGATACTTTTGTAACCCTTTCCAGCTTCATGCGAGTCAACAATTCTTGATCGTAGGACTTGTGAGAGCTCTTTTCTGCGAGGCATGGTTCACATCAGACAGTGCTTCTTGAAACCAGTAAACCCAAAACATGTGTGTGTTTTTTAAGGGCAGGACAGCTGTCAGCAACACATCCAATATCATCACACTGATTGGAGTCAAGGTTGGCTCACTCCTGGCTCCAATTAGCTCTGGGAGAAGTCATTAAGCTAGGGCCTCACATACTTTTTCCTCCCTGCACTGTGAATGTTTACATGTTATGTGCAATTAAACCATGGCAACATCTAATGTTTGTGTAGTATTATGTTCAGTAGACTGTGTTCTTCTATTGTTGTGACTTAGATGACGTTCAGAGCACATTTTATGCCCAATTCATGCAAAACTCCACGTAATCCCAAGGGGTTCACATACTTTTTCTTGCAACTGTACATATAATTTTTTCTGGGCGGCACAGTGGCTAAATGGTTAGCACTTCCACCTGGCAGTACTAGGGTTGTTGGAATCCCAGCCATGACATCTCCTGCCTGGAGTTTGCATGTTCTCCATGTGCCTGCGTGGGTTTCCTCCGGGCACTCCGGTTTCCTCCCACACTCCAAAGACATGCTGGTAGGTTAATTGGATCCTGTCTAAATTGGCCCTTGTATATGAATGTGAGTTAGGGACCTTAGATTGTATGCCCTTTGAGGGTTAGGGACTGATGTGAATGTACAATATATATGTAAAGCGCTGTGTAAGTTGACGGCGCTATATAAGTACCTCAAATAAATAAATTTCTGAGATACAGCTTATATCATTAAAGTCAGTGTTTCCTATAAAACCCTATAGATCATAAGTAGTTACGAGTCAAATGTACATGAGTTTGGTTTAGGGTGGGTTCGGGGAACTTTACTGAAGTTCGAATGCTGAATCCAACCCCCATGCGAGGGATTACCTCAAGAAGCCAAATTTTAGAAATAAGTAACTGGCATTTTCTGAGTTAATAGGTAAGGGATTGTGAAACAACTGGGCTAGGATGCTGGGAACTACGCTGGGGACATGTACCTAAGCAAAACAATTTCTACAAAATTGTGTTTAGTGGAGAGAAGTTATTTTAATCATGCTTAAAGTGAAATATTAAACATGTACAATTCATTTAAATAACCTGCCTGGGGGATGCTCTATAAGGATAAGTTCACCTTTGGAACATGTTACATGTTCCATTTGTTTTTAGGGTGGGATATGTAACATGTTCCCATAGCTGCAGCCACACCTGCCACCCCCCCCCTCCCTGTGACAGATAGTACGGGGAGAAGTTTCCCTGTACTATCTGTCAAATTTGAGAACAGCAAGGCAGTGCAGGGCTCCGCCCACATGGCCACGTCATTCATTAACAGACTTCCGTGAATTAATGAACTGCAAGTCCTGACAGCCTTAGCAGCTGTGGGCTTGTAGTTTTCAATGAACTACCACAGCGCTGTGGGAGCACCGTGGTAGTTTACTTAAGCTTCCTTTCAGAATACCTGCTTGCTTGCACATCCTGTACAGCAAGCAGATATTCTGACAGGTCTGCATGGCGTCAGCAATCTATTGATCGCTGGTGCAATGTTTTCCAGGCTCCTTTGGACAAAAATAATAAATGCACATTTTTTACCTGCAAAAAAATTTGCATTTATTATTTTTGTCCAAAAGGTGAACTTATCCTTTTAATCTGCATACAACGCGGAGCATCTGTATGATATATAAAGCCTAGCACTTTTGCAAAGAAAAAAAAATGCTATTCAAATTTCTGATCAAAGACAGCTCCCAGCTGCTTTGTTTTATTTGAAAATAAACAAAAGGGTTTTTTTACATTTTGTCCTCTGGGCTGATGGCGTCGAAATAGAAGTAATTCAGGTGGCTGAGCAGAAAACTTGGGGGGAGGAGAGAGGGATTGGAGGAAACAGGAACACAAAAGTTAACTGAAGCTGGGCTCTATCATAATAATAGAAATGCAATTCATAATTTATACCTCAACATTTCCCACATATTGTACTGACAAGCATTGCATGCCTAAACATATATTATGTTTAGGTAATTGTTTTATCTTGTATTGTTTGCTTGTGGCACTTGATATTATAACCATGTCTGAAATAAACTTTAGAACATTGTGTGTGTGTGTCCATGTTCTCTGGAGTGATGAATTATGCTTCTCTGTCTGGCAATCCGATGGACATGTCTGGGTTTGGCGGTTCCCAGGAGAGTGGTACTTGCCTGACTGCACTGTGATAAGTGTGAAGTTTGGTAGAGGAGGGATTATGGTGTGAGTTGTTTTTCTGAGGTTGGGCTTGGTCCCTTAATTCCAGTGAAGGGAATTTTTGAGGTGTCAGCATACCAAGACATTTTGGACAATTTCATGGCCCCTTCCTGTTCAAACATGACTAGGCATGTAAGGGAACCCAAATTCCTAGCACCTGAACACTAGTACAAACTTATGCTCATATTCGTATGCATTGCTCACAAGCTCATACTTCTGAGCAAAGAAGCAAAAGATGTGCTGTTCCAGTGCGCACATGCAAATGGGTTTACGCGCATTCCAATTAGCGTACTCACTTGGCACCCAATGGCCTATTTAAACTGGTCTGTCATTATGAGTAGAGATGAGCGAATCGAACTTGGCGAAGTGGAATTCGTTTCGAATATTAGGAAAAATTAGATTCGCACCGAATCCGAAAATTAGCAAACTTCGGATGCACGAATCGAATTTTTCCCGATCGGCCGATTTTCATCCCTTCTACAGCCGGCAAAAAGTGTCCCTATAGAGAGCTCCGCTATTTCTGACAGTTCTCTGACAGTTCCTTCACATTTACAGCGGTTGAAACATTGTATCTATTTGTTTCCATTTAGGATACAGATGTTTTTATTCAGAAACAAATAGATACAATGTTTCAACCGCTGTAAATGTGAAGGAACTGTCAGAGAACTGTCAGAAATAGCGGAGCTCTCTGCAGATACACTTTTTGCTGTACTGGAATTCTTCTTCTTTTTTTCTTCTTCTCATTCTTCTTTTCATTCTTCTTTTTCATTCTTCTTTTCATTCTTCTTTTCATTCTTTTTTTCATTCTTCTTCTCTTCTTTTCATTCTTCTTCTTCTTCTTTTTCATTCTTCTTCTTCTTTTCATTTCTTCTTCTTCTTCTTCTTTTCATTCTTCTTTTCATTCTTCTTCTTCTTTTCATTCTTCTTCTTCTTCTTTTCATTCTTCTTTTCATTCTTCTTCTTCTTTTCATTCTTCTACTTCTTCTTCTCCTTTTCATTCTTCTTCTCCTTCTTTTCATTCTTCTTTTCATTCTTCTTTTCATTCTTCTTCTTCTTTCTTTTCATTCTTCTTCTTCTTTTCATTCTTCTTTTCATTTTTCATTCTCATTCTTCTTTTCATTCTTCTTCTCATTCTTCTTTTCATTCTTCTTCTTCCTCTTCTTCTTCTTCTTCTTCTTTTCTTCTTCATTCTTCTTTTCATTCTTCTTTTCATTCTTCTTCTTTTCATTCTTTCTTTTCATTCTTCTTCTTCTTTTCATTCTTCTTCTTTTCATTCTTCTTCTTCTTCTTTTCATTCTTCTTTTCTTCTTCTTCTTCTTCTTCATTCTTCTTTTCTTTTCTTCTTCTTCTTCTTTCTTTTCATTCTTCTTCTTCTTCTTCTTCTCATTCTTCTTCTTCTTCTTCTTCTTCGTCGTGCCCCGTGACTGCCCAAATGAGTGAAGTGTGCGTTGATTCTAAGATCGACGGCACTCATCTGCATGTCATACTGACTGACAGTATTATTTCTCTTCCCCAGCAGACTCCAAGGGCATTTAAATTAAAGGTACAGTGTTCTGCACTAATATAAAGGCTCTCTGAAGCCTAGAAAACCCTTTTAATAAGTAAATTCGCAATGAATAAATTCGCATCAAATCGAATTTCTTCCGCAAATTCGGCGAATCAGCCGAATCGAATTTTTGAATAATTCGCTCATCTCTAATTATGAGCAGTTGTTGAATGGTCTTCAGCTTGTTCCTGTGACCTGATCCGCTGTACATGCTTACCCGACTTGCTCTATGACTTCGCTTCTGCTCCTGCTTAAACTATGTTTACCTGATTACTCTGATCTCGGCCTCTATACAGAACTTATCTTTTCCTACTGTTTCTGTACCGCTTTGCCCAGCTGTTCCTGACCTTGGCCTGCCTCCTGGACTTGCACTGCCTGTTGATTTGGGCCCTTGCTGCCTGGTCACTGCTGATGGCTGTATGCTGCCTGTCCCCTGGTCCTGCTTCATCTTCTGCTCTGGTGCCAAGCTGCTCCTGCATCCCATTCTGAGGACTGAGACTACCTGTTCTACTCACCAACGGAGTGGACACCACCAGCCAGCTACTCGTGCCACTCTTTGCCCTCACACTCTCTGTCTCCACCTTGAGGAATGTTGGGCAGGAGGTGCAAGAGAGTCCTCCATAACATTCCAGTCTTCTCCAGGTACGTGATAGCGCACCAGTGCACGAAGCAAGATCCATAAACACATGGATGAGAGAGTGTGGGGTGGAGGAACATGACTGGCCCTGACCTCAACCCGATAGAACACCTTTGGGATGAATTAGAGCAGAGACTGCGAGCCAGGCCTTCTTCTCTGACATCAGTGCCTGACCTCACAAAAGCTCTTCTGGAAGAATGGTCAAACATTCCCATAGACAAACCTTCTGGACAGCCTTCCCAGAAGAGTTGTAGCTGCAAAGGGTGGGCCAACTCAATATTGAACTCTACAAATTAAGACTGGGATACCATTAAAATACTTTTAGCATTTTAGTGTGTATAGTAAAAAAAAAAAATATTGCTATCTCTAATGACGTTCTTTCAACCAACCCATGTATAAGTTAGCATAGGTGGGTGTAAAGTTTTGTTCTCCTCTTTCCCCTTCCTCCCCTCTTCCCCTTCCACCTAACACCTTTAACCCTCATTTTCCCCTTCCTTTCTTCTCCCTCATCCCCACCCTGCTTCTCCTTCTTCCTTTGATTCCTCTCTTTCTTCCCTCTTGAGCTTTAACCCCTTTCTAGAGCTCTGACAGCAAGTCTCTTGGAATCTCAATATAAAAATTAAAGATGAATGTTTGTTTTTATGTTGAAATACACCACCACCTCATTAGTTACAATATGTGTAATGGATGTATTATAATAACATAATATTATTAATTATGTATTTACATATTATACAGGGATTGTTGAACATTGTGTATTTTTTGGCAATTTATGTAATTTTTTGCACAAGGGGTGATTGCATATAATAGTTTATTTGATATTCACTTATTTTAAGGTTTTAGGACTGTTAGTTTTTATGTACAGACTAACTTTCACATAGTCTAAATATTATAAACTAAAGCTTATACACTACAGCACTATCTGTATAATATAAAAAAAAGAAATAAAATTTAGTTGGGAACAGGTGTTACAAGACAGTATGTCAGTCAAAATATTAGTCTTGAAAACTGGAAAATGTCCTGAAAAGGAAGGGGGTTTTGCACAACAGTTTTCAAGTGGTTGATTTAATTGCCGTATTTTCCGGCATATAAGACGACTTTTTATACTTAAAAACATACCCCAACAATTGGGGGTCGTCTTATACGTGGGGTATAGAATGTCAGCCCACTGGATGTGCGGTAATACTGTACGGTAGCTTCAGCTACATACAGTATACCGCGCTGAGCCAATCACGGCGAGTGATGTATTCTATTAATGAATACAGAGCCTGCTCAGATTGGCTGAAGTTGTGACATCATCAGCCCGCCTCTCTGACGCAGCCAATCCGAGCAGGCTCTGTATTCATTAATAGAATACATCACTTGCCGTGATTGGCTCATATGACGTCCTCCCATTCTTTCTCAGGGAGCGCGCGGCGATCGGCGGTGCACTGTGTCCCTCGGACACAGCGGATCACCGATCACGGAAAGAGCCGAAGATGTTGGCTCGGTCATGTGATCAGCTGTGTCCAATCACAGCTGATCACATGTAAACAGAGAAATGCCGGTTATTGGCATTTCTCTCCTCTCGAGCTGTCACGCTGACAGAGGAGAGGAGAGCCGGTAATCGGCTTTCTGCGGAGGGGACATGTACACTGAACATCAGGGCACTGATGATCAGTGTAGCCCCAGCAGTGCCACCTGTCAGTGTCCATCAGTGCCACATGCCAGTGCCCATCAGTGCCACATATCAGTGCATACCAGTGCACATCAATGCCACATATCAGTGCCCATCTGAGCTGCCTTTCAGTGTCACCCATCAGTGCCAGTCAGTGCCCCCTATCAATGCCAATCAGCGCCACCTAACAGTGCTGTCAATCAGTGCCACCTATTAGTGCCAGTCAGTGCCGCCTATCAGTGTCATGTATCAGTGCTGCCTTTCAGTGCCCATCAGTGATGCCTGTCAATGCCCATCAGTGCCACCTATCAGTGCTGCCAATCAGTACCACCTATCAGTGCCAGTCAGTGCCACCTATCAGTGCGGATCAGTGGCACCTATTAGTGCCTATCAGTGCCGCCTATCAGTGCCAGTCAGTGCCACCTAACAGTGCCAGTCAGTGCCGCCCATCAGTGCCAGTCAATCCTGCCTATCAGTGCCATATATCAGTGCCATGTATCAGTGCTGCCTTTCAGTGCCCATCAGTGATACCTGTCAATGCCCATCAGTGCCACCTACCAGTGCCTCCTCATCGTGCCCATCAGTGCCACCTATCAGTGTTCATCAGTGCAGCCTATCAGTGGCCATCACTGCAGCCTCATTAGCGCACATCAGTGAAAGGAGAAAAATCACTTATTTACAAAAATTTTAGAACAAAAACTAAGAAAAAAGTTTTTTTTCCCCAAAAATTTTCTGTAGTTTTTTGGTTTGTTTAAGAAAAAATAAAAAACCCAGAGGTGATTAAATACCACCAAAATAAAGCTCTGTCACAAAAAAATGCTAAAAATTTCATATGGGTACAGTGTTGCATGACCGCGCAATTGTCATTCAAAGTGTGACAGCGCTGAAAGCCGAAAATTGGCCTGGGCAGGAAGTGGGTATAAGTGCCCTGTAGGCTTGTGGTTAAATGGTGTTACCTCAGAAGGGGGGTAGTCTTTTACGACGAGTATAGCCTAAAACCCATGTTTTAACTGGAAAATTAGGGGGTCGTCTTATACACCCAGTCGCCTTATACGCCGGCAAATTCGGTATATCTACTGGGATGTCTTTATCTAGTTTAGGAGTAATTCCACTTTTGTTGAGAAAAAAAATCCAAAAATTCCTAAAATTATTTGACTTGTATCTTAGTACAATTCTGGGACAATGAGTAAGCCAATAACACAAGCAAGGAATGACATTTCTAGGGAAGTTCTGTACATTAACTGTGTACAGAAGGCCTGCAGATTGCAATATTGCATTGAATATTATGATAAAAATACAACTGCTGCAAATTGAACAGGAAAGGTAATTTTTTTATAACAATTAATTACAATATGGAATGTAGAGCAATTGTGTATGCTATATTATTTTTGTTTAATTTTTTTAATGAAATTGGAGTTACCCTTTAAATTGGTATTTTAACCACTTAATTACCACGCTATAGCTGAAAGACTGCTACAGCATGGTTCTCTCATTCTGGGAGGGCGTCCATAGACTTCAGATCACGCTTGGGGTTCAGTCACAGATCACGGTAAAGGGCCAGTCACAGCTGATCACAAGTAAACAGATTGCTGGTTGTCGACTTTTGCTGCTCTCACAGCATGAGGAAACAAAAGCAGAGAGCTGGCAGTCCTGACAGTGCCCTGATTAGCAGTGCCCATCCGTGCAGCTTATCAGTTCCAATCAGTGCCCACCAGTGCAGCATATCAGTGCCCAGTACTGCTTATCAGTACCCATTAGTGCCACCTCATCAATGCCTATCAGTGCAGCTTATCAGTGCCCATTAGTACCGCCTCATTAGTGCAACCTCATCAGTGCAGCCTTATCAGTGCCACCTTATAGGTGCCCATCAGTGCAGTCTCATGAGAGAACATCAGTGAAGAAGAAAAATTACTTATTTACATAGTTACATAGTTAGTCTGACTGAAAAAAAAACAAAAGTCCATCCAGTTCAACCATTAAAAAAAAAAAAAGTTACAATCCTACAGTTGATCCAGAGGAAGGCAAAAAACCCCCCGCAAAGCATGATGCAATTTGCTCCTGCAGGGAAACAAATTCCTTCCTGATCCCCCGAGGGGCAATTGGATATTCCCTGGATCAACTTTACCTATAAATGTTAGTATCCAGTTATATTCTGTGTATCTAGGAAAGAATCCAGGCCTTTTTTAAAGCAATCCACGGAGCTGGCCAGAACCAACTCTTGAATGAGTCTATTTTCACAGCTCTTACAGTGTGTAAGGGAATTCCTGTGAGACGACGGGCTAATAGAAATGCGCATGCGTACTGAAATATCCGCAAAATAGTGACTAGACGCGCGCATGCACACAGAAATGCGCGATCGTTCACAAGCACGTGCACATGCACACGCACAGCAAATCTTGGTGCCAGACGGACTATTTAAAAGGATGCCTCTGCCTGTGCTTAGTGCTGACTGGTCTTCAGCTGTTTCCCTGTGTTCTGCTGTGTTCCTGTATGATCCCCTTGTTGCTGACCCGGCTTGTTCCTGACCTGACTTCTGATTCCTCTCATGCTTGGATGCTCGTTCCTGACCCCGGCTCTGTTCCTGGCTTCGGCTTGCTTATGATTTGGTACCTCGCTGTCTGCCCATTGATGATTGATGATCCTGGCTATGCCCATTGATGATCCTGGCTATTCCTGTGACGTTGCTCCTGTCTCCGATCCCAGCTTCCTGCCCTGCTCAAGTGCACGCATGGCTGTCTACTATACCAGCTCTGCACACCATAAACTGTTCCTGCTTCAAGTCTACTGGGAGACCTGACATGCCACTCATCCTCATCTGGTTGTGCAAGAGAAGGAGTGCCCTTTTAACCCAGGTGGGATTACAAAACATTGCTACTGTTCCTGAACCGGTGGTTTGCCAGTCTCTTAAGGACTCCAGCTGCAAGCTCTTCAGGCAACACCTGCTGGTACTCTTGTTCCCCTGGACCTTAGGCACCCTCTGTTCCACTTCCAGCGGGGTCAGAGCTAGTGACACAAGTGAGGCTGGCTTCCTCCTTTCATTCTCCTATCAGGTACGTGACAGTACCAGTCAGCCAGTGATGGAGTCTGAAAGGGAGGCCTCTGCATTAGAAGACATTTGTTGATCAATCTCTGCCTTGTCCAACATTGTGCAGAGTTTGCAAAGAAACCTTAATCACATGGAGGACCAACTACCAGCCAAGCCGGATGTTTAATCAACCCTGGGTCCCTCTGCAGCCTCAGATGTAACCACCCAAACGGAGCTCAGCATGATTTATGGTACTTTTCCTCCACCTGAACCCCGGGTGCCAATACCTGAATATTTTACTGGAGACTGCAGAAAATTTCATACTTTTCACAGCTCCTGTGAGCTATATTTCTCTCTGCTGCTGAGAACCTTTGCATCACAAAGTTCTAAGGTGGGGTTCATTATCTCACTCCTTCAGAATGAACCCCAATCCTGGGCCCATCACCTTTGGGAGCAACATGATCCTGCTTTAACTTCTACAAACTCTTTTTTCTCAGCCATTTCTCAGCTATATGCTGATCCCTTCTGTCATCAGACTGCAGAATTTATGCTTGGCCAAGCTACAGCAAGGCCAAAGAGGCCTGTAGAGGACTATGTGACTGAGTTACGTATATGGAGTTCTGACACTCCGATTCAGCACTCTGTTATCAGTTTCGTCTTGGTCTCTTCAACACCCTGAAAGATGAGCTTGCCCGAGTGGGGGTGCCGACGGCACAGGAAAGGCAAGGTGAAAGAATTAGCAGGGGTTTCTTGGCCTGCTCAGAGATTGAGGTTCCTGTTCCCTCACCAACTACTTTAACATCAGACATACCCTCTAGCAAAGAGGGGCATCGCAACCCTCCTCGAAGGAGCTTTTGGAGGCCACCTTTATCCTCTGCTGAACGTCTTCGACGACAAAGTTCCAACCTCTGTCTCTACTGTGGTGATGCTGGTCACTTCATACTGACATGTCCAGTGAGACCTCACAAGTCTTCCCTTAACTGATTCCATATGACGCATCCACAAGGAACTAATCAAATGCAGATCTCCCTCCTTCAGCTTGCTGAAAAGACTATTACTCTTCTAGCAATTATAGACTCTGGTGCCTCTAGCTGTTTTGTGGACTCTACCTTTGTAACTCAGCACAATATTCCTCTCTGTATCAAGAAACAAGGGTTTTCAGTTCATCTGGCTGATGGCTCTGGCATCAGGTCTGGCCAAGTGACACAAGAAACCGTTCCAATCTTCTGCCTCTCTTCCTCAGGATATTAGGAATTTCTACATCTAGATGTCATAACATCACCAATGTTTCCTGTCATCCTCTGCATTCCCTGGTGAAAGGTGCACAACTCCTCCATTAACTGGCTCTCTGGGGACATCACCTTTTCATTCAAATGCTGTCAGATTCATTGCACTCCAAAGAAGCCATGCACAGCTACTCCTCTTCTTAGTATTCACCCTAATTCTGAGATGATGAGACTTGTTCCTGCCACCTACCATGATTATCTGGATGTATTCAACAAGAATTGCTAATGCTCTTCCCCCTCACCGGCCTGGTCCTGAGATTCCTTTTGGGCGAATTTACCTTCTCTCCGAATTGGAACTAGAGGCTCTTTGAAATTACATACAGTTGTGACCAAAATTATTCAACCCCCACTGAAATTGAGTGTTTTGGCCAGTTTGACATTGCTTTTGATCATTCAGTCATCTTGCTTACATTTACATTAAAGAGGCACTTGTAGGTCAGACAAATATAACATAACAGTTATAATGAAATAACCACAAATGTCTTTTCTGTGCTCACAGCATTATCAGTTTTTCAAACCCCAAGTGACATTCAATCTTAGTACTTAGTACAGCATCCTTTTACAGTTATAACAGCTTTTAAACGTGAAGCATAGCTTGACACAAGTGTCTTGCAGCGATCTACGGGTATCTTCGCCCATTCTTCATGGGCAAAGGCCTCCAGTTCAGTCACATTCTTAGGCTTGCGCACTGCAACTGCTTTCTTTAAGTCCCACCAGAGGTTCTCAATCGGATTTAAGTCTGGTGACTGCGATGGCCACTCCAAAATGTTCCAGCCTTTCCTCTGCAACCATGCTCTAGTGGACTTGGAGGTATGCTTGGGATCATTGTCCTGTTGAAAGGTCCAACGTCTCCCAAGCCTCAGGTGTGTGACGGACTGCATCACGTTTCCATCCAATATCTCCTGGTACTGAAGAGAATTCATGGTACCTTGCACACGCTGAAGCTTCCCTGTACCTGCAGAAGCAAAACAGCCCCAAAGCATGATTGACCCTCCACCATGCTTCACAGTAGGCAAGGTGTTCTTTTCATCATAGGCCTTGTTCTTCCTCCTCCAAACATAGCGTTGATCCATGGGCCCAAACAGTTCTAATTTTGTTTCATCAGTCCACAGAACACTATCCCACAACTTTTGTGGTTTGTCCACATGGCTTTTGGCATACTGCAGTCGACTCTTCTTATTCTTTGGAGACAGCAAGGGGGTACGCCTGGGAGTTCTGGCACGGAGGCCTTCATTACGCAGTGTGCGTCTTATTGTCTGGGCTGAAACTTCTGTACCCACATCTGACAAATCTTTTCTCAGTTCCTCAGCAGTCACACGGGGACTTCTCTCCACTCTACGCTTCAGGTAGCGCACAGCAGTCGAAGTCAGCATCTTCTTTCT